CAAACATAATTCCAATACAAATTACGGCGATTTTTCTATTAAAGATATTTGAATTCTTCTTGAAACTGCTCTTACATAGAATATTTTCATTGAAAATAAATTCGAAAAATGGTGTCAATATCAGATTTATAATCATTCCGATCAGTCTTCAACGATTAGAAAATATTTTATAATTATGCTATTTTTCTCTGATAAAGCTCAAAGGACTCCGTGCATTAAGGTGCCAAATCCGCTATCTGCCAAAGATACCAATTTTATGTTATAATTTTGTAGTTTGGACTCAATGACACATTTAAAAATATCATTTTTTTCAAATCTACTTCTACTTACATAGATAAGCAAAAATCTTTATTACTACATGGCAACGGCCAATTGGGACCCTGCACCGCAATTTTCTCTGTCATAGAGAAAGGTTTAAAAATTCTAGTTTCATATTTAGAAACAGTATTATAGATCTTCTAATTCTGCATAAACACTATTTTTTCAAATTTAGTAAGGATCGAATAATAATTGAAATTCGATCATCAAGGACATATCGTGTATCTATACATGAGAACTTGACGTGACATGATCTCATCAATAAAAAATTATACATCGCCAAAACTTTCTCAAAAATTTGCTTATCTATGAAAGCAAAAGTAGATTTGAAAAAAATGATATTTCTAAATGTGTCATTGGATCCAAGCTATAAAATTATGACATAAAGTTGGCACCGTTCGTGGATGGCAAATTTGACACCTTAATGCGTGAGATCCTTTAGGTTTGGATCATCGTTCGCAGAGAAACTTTAGGTTTGTATGAAAACGTTGACGAAGGACGGTCAGGAATTGTTCAACTGCTTTTTAGCCACAACCTAGCGGATTATAGGTAATTGATCATGCTGATTGCGAATATCGACATAGTTTTTGTTACTAGTTCTTTAAAGATTTGGTTTTCTTGGAAATCAGTTTTCTCTAGTGAAAAACTTTTTCCATGAATTTTTTTTTTCACAATTTGCACTATTATAGAGAAAACTAGAGAAGTAAAAAGCTTGGAGTCCTTGAACTTTTATACATTTTTCATTCTACTATATATCACTATGTCCGATAAACATTGCTGTTGCACTACACTATATTTTGTCATTATATTCTTCAGATATCTATAATACATTTCGCAGCTCATCGGAGAACTTGCGAATTCTGATCTTTTGAGTCTTTAGGTTAAAAAGGGTGTGGTTGAAGACAAGATCTCTATTTCACACATACCACACGCTCACGTTTATTTTGAGTGACAGGTAAAATGCAATCTAACTTTAGGTTAGTATTGATTAAATCTGACAGGCAATCGATTAATATTGACAGGATTCAAGGTCAATAAATAAACTTATTTAATTAGAAGAATGAAAAACATGTTATAATTATATGACTTAACATATATCAAAAGTTGAATGGAAAATCTTAACATGAATTGAGTTACATATTGAAATAAAGAAAAAAAAAGCAAACTTATTAATAAAAAAATATAAAATCTCAATGTTGAAAGAAAAGCATGAGAGACAAGAAGAATTAAGATTTTCTACTCCTCTAACCCTCTCTGCAATGCTTCAAATTTAAAAAAAAAATAATTTTTTTATACTCAACTTAAACTGTTTCACAAAATAGATACACCAAAACAAAATTTTGACAAAAAAAAGTTTTTTACTATAGAAAACTGATTTTCCATAAAACCAGATCTTTGAAGGCCTAGTTACAAAAACCATGTTAATATTCGAAATCAGCATCGTCAATTATCTATAAGTGGACAGATTTCGGATAAAAAGCGGTTGAACAGTTGGTAACCTTTCCTCATTAATGAGAAACTTCAAGATTTGAAGTTTAGTAATTAGTTAATGGGTAAATGACTCTTTTTTTTTCACGCTATATATATATATAAATATCACATATTCATCTTTGAGAAACCTAACAGATATGATATTTCTTCCCGGAAACCAAATCTTTTGACATCGAAGTGTCTTCTTCCTAGTGCGTACACCAGTTGCTTTCTATACTTACATCAAATTTCAATCTAAAAGTAAACTGTTAGTGAGTACTTTTCTTGCTTTCTGATGAGAATATATTATTTCAGTGACTTTGAGAAGCTCTATTAGTTATAAAAATAATTGAACTAAAACATCAATTCTAGAAAAGCAGAAATAATATTGCAAAAAAGTATTAAGTTCTTTTTTGCTTCACCTGGTATAACCAGAGAAATATTCAATCATATATGCATCGTCTGCTTTTGCTCCGAATACACATCATTGATAGTAGGGAATTGAATGCCCATTATGATTGGGATGGTATCTATCACATCATTAGACTTTTAGAAGAAAATATCTTGGTTAAAATTATAATAAATTAAATTAGTTTCGAGCATATCTATGATCTTTATCGATATAATTCTAAGTGTCATTAGTCTTTTTGTAATTAAACTAGATCAAAGTAAATTGATTGTCACTGCCTTATGTAATTTGATACTTGAACAACGATCTTGATCCATCATCGTCTCCATAGTAGTTTCTCTTCCTAGAACACTTTCTCTTTGTTTATATAATCAAAAAAAGAAGTCTGGAATGTAACAGTGGACATGAAATGACCGATAAGAGGAGTAACTAATGTGAATCAAATATCGTATAACAGTAACTTTTTCACCGTATATTATTATTTTTTATTTTAGATTCTTTATACATACGTAAATAGTGAGTCCATTTTGTATGAAGTAACCTTGTTACAGATGAAACAATTAATGATATTTACCGGATAAAATAATATAATCTATGTTGAATTACTTGTCATGTGAAGAGAATCAGTAAGACATTGCCATATCTTTCTTATTTTCTCGTTCTTTAATACGTCTATAAATTCAACAAATATAAACGTACTTTTGTACTTTGCAATGCATGAAACTATTGCACAAATTTCACGCAACAATTAATTATCTTATTGACTATTGCAAAAGAACGTCCAAAATATATCATTAAATAAAAGATTAAATATTCAAAAAAAATAATTTGTTATGATATCAAATTCTATAACCCGGAAGACAATCCACGAGATGGCGAGATGAAATTCATTCATTCCTAGGAAATGGCTGGAGCACTGTGGCACAAAATAGAGATAAATGGAAAAACATGGGAGAGACCTTCGTCCAACAGTGGACGGCAAATGGTTGCTAAATGATGATGATGATGATGATCAAATTCTATGCACTATTTATTTGTATTTTAACTCTTCGAAAAATATTACACATTAAACACAGATACGTTCGCTTTCAAGTATAATATTTATAGTTTTCAAAGGAATTGACAAGAGGACGTTTCTAAATGTAAAATCATTTTTTGGAGTGGAGACTATTGTCTATCATGTAGGTTCTCGTCAGCTATGAATGATTAAGAAAGAGCTTGAGCTAATACTTCATTATTGTCGAGATGTTATAGTTCCCTGAGGAATACTAAGAAAATTGAATATCGAATTTTCACTGGAAACTTTATATAGAGACATGTCTTAACGAGAATATCGTATTGTGAAAGTTTCAGATTTTTCGATTGCATCTATTCTGAAATAAGATTTGTCGTTGTATATGAGAGGAGTTAAAAATATGCTTTTACCATAGCTGTATCTTAGGATAGAAGCAATCAAAAGATCTGGAACTTTTACAATAAATTATTCTCATTAAGATCAGTCTCTATACAAAGTTTCAAGTCGAACTTCGAAATTCTGTTTTCCTGATGTTCCTGCAAGGAATCACAGCATTCTACTAGAAAGTACATTATCTCGAACTCTTTTCAGAATATTCATAGCTCATTAGAACTTACATTATGCACATAGTTCTGACTCAAAAGCGATTTAACATTTAGAAACATTCTCTCGTTAGATTACACATTGCTCAATAGTTCAAGTTTAAAAATAACACTAAAAATGCCAACATTCATTAGCCTTGTCTTTCTAAAAAAAAAAGAAAAGTCATTAGAAGTATCAATAATATATTTATTATTGTTTGAAATAATCAATTTGTTTAATGAATATTTTTCTTTCAATATAAAAACAAAAAATCTTCTCATCATGAGAAAAACAAATTGTTTTTTGTCTTCAATTGACTGATGTTATGTTATCCGGAAGTAGAGCATATCCGTCTTAGTATGTCTGATAATATTCATCTTAACTGAATGATTTAAAGATGACTCTTGACTTCCTTTTATTTTGTTGACTTGTCTATATATGTTGTTTGATCTTCTTTTCTTCTTCTTTTTTTTATTCGTCTCTCCTCCCTTTTGCTTCGCTTGTCTATCCGATTCACTCAATTTCACACATTGTTGCTTTTGCATGCATTCCCTCAGCGGGTTTCTCTTCTTTCTTAATTTACATATTAAAAAAAATCACAATAAGTTTAATCGATCTCTCCCTAAAGATATAAGAAAAAGGTGGTCAACTAAAACAAGCATGCATTGCCGACATACAAAAAAAAAACAAAACGTAATCGAATTAACTTTGTCATTGTTATTGTTTTTTTTGTTTGATGAGTGAATGAGAATATTCGCTTGAATCATCATTGTGATGTCGTGCAATAACTTTCCGACTGTTTTACATAGGGGAAAAGAAAAACTCTATTTCCTATAAGTAGCATATCTGTATTGAATCTTATCACTTTTGTTTTTGTTAAAATTGAGTGATCTACCACCTCTCTCTTATACCTTGTTAATCTTTCCTCAAGGCATTTAAGAATCAATCAATAAAACACGACACTTTATATACACAAAAAAATTGAATATCTATTGATGCGAAACGAATATCTTTTTTTTTTTTTGTCTTGATATATTTTTAAATACAACCATTGAAAGAAAGCAACAACAGCAACAACAACAACAACAACAACAACAATAATAATAATAATGACAATGAAAACAGAAAAAAAAAAAGAAATGAAAAGAAAATTTTAAGACAACATATCAATCAAGATAAAATACTGTCTTTTGTACATGAAGAAATTCACATGGAATCAAATGTAAGAATATCAGCTACGAAAAACAAAAGCATATAGATTTAAAAAATTATTTTAAAATACTTACGTTCACGCTGTCGTTTTTTTGCTTTCATACGACGATTTTGAAACCAAATCTAAATATATATTTTTTTTTTCATATGAAATACAAAAGCAAAAAAATAATAATTTTACTTTCACTTGTGTTTCATTTAATTGAAGTGATGCTGCTATTTCAATACGTCTTGCTCGTGTTAAATAACGACTAAAATGAAATTCTTTTTCCAATTCCTAAAACATCAAAAAATTTTCTTTTTTCACTTATTTTACTCTTCTTATTTATCTTACTGTTAATTGTTTATTTGTAAAATTCGTTCGACCAGCATTATTATTTATCAATGAATTCGATGATGATCCATTCACTAGTGATGTACCATTATTATAATTATAATCAGTCGGTTTACCTTCAAATAAACATATGTATATTTATTTCTTATCATTATATATTACAGCATCATTGCAAAAAAAAAAAAAAGAAAAAGCGAAGAAGTGATGATAGATGATATTTTGATCTTTCTTTCTTTTTTTTTAACTATAAATGGCATAATTTTAATCAAGAAAATGATTGATTCTCTTTTTATATGGAACTATATCGATCATCTATCGTGACATGATGTTCAACAATTGGTAGATAGTATAACTAATGAATTAAACAAATAGGAAAAAAAAGGCAGAGAAAAAAATTTTTCATCATCTGTTTGTTGGACACCTGTGTATGTGTGTGTGTGTATATGTGCAAAATAATATTTATCTTTCTATCTGATGGAATACATTTCAGGACGATACATACACTAATATTATTTTCTATTTATATGAAAGAAAAGATTTTTATCAAGATTAAAAATAAAAAAAAAGAAAAACATATGTTCAAATTTACCTGCTGTTTTAGCTGGTGTACGTTTTATTTGCATCCATTTATATTTTGCTTCACTAGTAACAATAGAAAGAGGTTTTTCATCTATAGATGATTGTTCAAGATGTCGATATTGTTGTTGTTGTTGTTGTTGTTGTTGTTGTTGACATTGAGATGGATTATTAAATGATGATGATGATGATGTTGATGAAGATGATGTTTCATTATTAGATAATGGTATTGATGAATAATCTCGATAATTATTTTGTTCAGATAATTGTGAATTATTTAAATAAACATTACATTGTTCAAATGATTGAATTGGATGATATATTGTTCCTTCATTAGTTCCTGCTGTTGTTGTTATCCATGATGATGATGATGGTGGTGATGTTTGAGAATTATCAATACAAAATTGTTCATAAGTATTTACTGGAATATTTGGTGCTGCTGTTGTTGTTGTTGTTGTTGTTGTTGTTGCTGATGAAGGTGATGGTGATGTATATGTTTCATAAACTGATGATGGTTGAGTATCTAATGTACAAATAGTTGGTGAACGATATATTGGATGATGATGTTTAGTACAATAGGATGGTGGTGGATTATAAATATAATTATCATCAAGTAAATTATAATGATTTTGTTGATGTATATCAATAATTGAATTGTTATTCGATGTATAAGTATCAATTGGTGGTTGTAGAACAGATGTTGTTGTTGTTGTACTACTAGTTAAGTGAAAGTGATGGTTTGATTGAAGAATTGTATTCGAATTATGTGTTTGTAGGTGTTGGTGTTGGTATCGATTCATCATGATAGATGATGATGGAGATTGATGTGTTTTTTTTCTGTATGTTCTTCTTCTTCTTCTTCTTGTTCTTCTTTTTTTTCGATTTTGTTCGTTCTGTGTGTATGTGTCTTTTTTTGAAAAATGGTAACGAATTGACTAAATGTCGAAGTGTTTTTTTTTTTTCAGAAGATCTGTCGGATTTAATTCAATGAACTCATCAATCTAAATATTAAGGAAGAAAAATGTTTTGTTCTTTTTTTTGTCCTTTTTTTTATTTCAGACAAACAAAAAAAGAAAAAATAAGAATGATAGATTCTTCTTGCATTTGTTGTGAAATAGGATATTGATCATATAAGGGTTATGGTGTACTTCTTCTCTCTCCGTTAGCCTATCGATGTAAGGGTTTTTCTTTTCTTTTCTTTCTTTTCTTTTTCTCTTTTCTCATTTTGCTCGCTTCTTGATGTTGTGTTGGTCAACATTCTCGATTACCGAAAGACAAAAATTCCTATTGATCCAAAATGCTTATGATCAACAACGAATGAAATCATTTGTATATATATATATATTTATATATACATGTAGGAGTCAAGATAAAGGAAGAGAAATTCGGATTTTTTTCTTTCCTTTTTTTGTCATCAAGCTCGTTTCCTTTTTCTCAAGTACTTATGTGCCATATTTAACAAAAAAAAAAAGAAAAAAAAAGAGATAATATCACGCATAGATGTAAAGACGATGGATGGATAATAAAAATGTGTTAATAGAAGAGAATATTGACTAATAAAGAAATTATTTTCTCAGAAGTGTATTTCAATAGAGGAAATAATATCGAAATACTTTACACAAGTCATTAGCATATTTTCCTTGCAAATGATATAATGTGACGAATAATACGATGTTGTTTCTTTGACAGTATATTAACAGGATAGATAATTCTGTTTTTTCAAACTAAATTGAGTATATTTTATATATGCATTGACATGCATTTCTACTCGTAAGGGAATTTTTTTTTTTGTTTTTTAATCGATAAAAATAAAACAAGTACCGGCATTAAATATTGTCATTCTCTGATGTTTTTATTTTAATTTTCATATCCTGTCGGCAAAATAGCCGATTCGTCTTCTTCTTCTCTCCTATCATCAGGACAGTCAGTGATTTGTGACCATAGAGAAAAAAAATCACGATCAAATTGCTTGACTTCGTCGTTTTTCTTTCTTTTTTTTTTTAACTATGCACATATTTGTGAGTCTCTTGAGATTCAAAGAGAATAAGAAGAACAAGAACAAGAACAAGAAGCGCATACATATACGAGTAAACCCATTGCGCACACTAACTATAATCACTGAAGTGAACAGTACTCACACGGTGGTGAGCAATACATCGATCGATCATCCCTCTGACGACGTGTCGACACCCCTTGTGCACACATATATACGGGGCACACAAATAGATAGACATCTCTAATATGCGAGTGCCGCACATACACACACATATATACTGCGGCAAGTGGAAAAAGGAGAAAATGAGCTAGACAATGACGAAAGCGATGAGAAAGCATGTCGAAGGTTGTTGTTGATTGCTATTCATTCATTTTTTTTTTTGGTTGATTATATCTAGTACTTTGTTAACTATGGAGATATTCGTTTTGAAAGGCACAGCAAAAAAGAAAAACGATAAAGCAATTATTTATAGACTTTATAAAAATATTATATAGAAATAAAAAAAAATAGAAAACAAATTTTGATTAATTATTATAATATGATTTTTGTTTGTCATTATGAAGAAGACTTCAATAAAATCTATATGCTTATGAACAAGTATAGTAAAGAAAGTAATAATTTGAATTTAAATCTGTTTGGTTTTTTTTTGTCTTTGAAATAAATAATACTGTGTATATCAAGTTGTGTTTTATCGCCTACTCTTTCTCACGACAATATTTAGTAAGAAGTAAGATACTGAAAATATATAAGATTTCATTTGATGTTTTTATTAATATTTTTTAATATGCTTTATCAGGTAAGGTCAATTCATTTGTGCTTTCATTAGAACAAAAATATTTATTTGTGCTAATATCTGATTAAATATCATTATATACAATGGAGATAATTGAGTTTTTACAATTTTGGAAATTTGATATATCATGGATTAAATATTTATATAAATTTGCAATTTCTTTTTTTGAAATATACTTTTGATGATATACACAGTTATTCTTATTTTTCTTTTCAAAAGAGTACATCAATACAAGCGTTTGAGTAAAAAGTAATATTTAATTATACGTTAACATGCAGTGTAGACTTGTTTTTCTTCTTTTTCTTGGCTTACTAATAATATCTGCCATTTTTGGACAAATAAGTAGTAAGTCATGAACAAAGAACTATTGTACAAGAAACTGAACTTTTGATAAATGTATTCGTAGGAACGTTCCAAACGAGACCGGACTGGGAGGACTAATCAATTTTGAAAAGCGTTTTATTGTTTGTTTTGCTCATCAATTCTCAAAAAAGCTGGCTCATTCTAGAAAAAATCTTTCAGTTGACCTCTTGAGTAGAGATGTTCGAAACCGGGACTACAGAAAAGAGATATTGTTGAGATAGGGACCAGAACTGTGACAAACAAGTGGTCCTACCCAGAACTAAATATTATAGTTAAATATTCTATGATTTCAAGCAAATTATCTTATAAATCATATCGATGAGAACATAGATCAAGAGAATGCTAATCGTCGATTAAATAAATTAAAAAGTGAGTATTGAAGAATTTTTTTTCCGATTTGATACAAACAAATTCTGAAATAGTTTTCGTCACATCGAGATCGATGAAAAAAAGTTACGTTAACTGAAGTAGAATTAGAACTAAAAAAACTTGATCTCAGACGTCTCTATTCTTGAGTCATCGACCTCTATTCCTCCTGAAATCCTCTCGACCCAAGGCGAAGAAAACGGAACCATAAACGATATAAAACAATGAAAATAATAGCAAAAAACGGTTTGATAGATTACAGTTAAAATTAGTGCAGTAAAACACCATTTTCGACAACCATTATAATCATTTTGAAGATTTCATATACTCGATATAAAACCGAACTTTTATAAATCGAATGATGAGATGATTTATATTTAGTTTGCAATCCGAATCCATGTTTTAACAATGGCCAATGCTTAGCAATCAATGGCAATATGGATTTTTATTGCATATGTCCACCTAATCTTCCGGTGGGTGGTAAACGATGTGATGAACTGACAATAGGAACAACAACAACAACAATGAGACCAGGTTATAGTTTAAGTTTCTATATATTCGTTTTTTTTAAAAATCATCTATTCAAATTTTCTTATCTATAGCTACGATGGTAACACCATCACCATGTATATCGAGTCCATGTATGAATGGTGGTGCATGCAGTGTTTCTCAATTCACAAATACTTATGTCTGTTCATGTAGTCAATTGTATTATGGAAAACAATGCGAATGTATGATTATTACTTAGGATTTACTGTTTATTTTTTTAGCTTTTCTTCTTGAGAATGCACAATATTAAATTTCCAAAAATCACTCATATCTCGTGAAAGATGCGAGAATTTTAGACTTTTGGAAATTGAATATCTCGTGAATGAAGTATTCTTTTAGCTGAAATTTTTCAGGACATTCTAGTCATAAGTAGATCTATGTGTAGGTTAGATCTCAGGTTGAAATACTATCAATCGATTTACTGATGTATACTGTATCACAGCGTCAAAGTCCAATGAAACGGCTATAACTTAGAAGGGAAATTCTAATAGTATTTATCCTTTTAGGACTTTTCATATCTCACTAAGGTTTACCCTATGGATAGAGTTTGGACTCGTAAACGATTTATCACTTGCAAGGGTTCTCTAATTACACATATATCTTTTAATTTCTCTTTGGACTTTTCTTGTTTATCTCGTCTGATAACCAGCAGTCTTCATACGTGTAAAGACATGTGTCTTGTTTGTTTTTTTGCATATGTATAGTTAATTATCGTGTATTCTCAAGAGGAAAAGTTAAAAAAATCAACAGCAAAGTTTAACACATTGAAACTTTACTATTATAATATCATCTGAAGAATGATGAAATATTGTAAGAATTATAGAGTTCGATTTTGGACTATCAGCACATGTAGAGAAAAAATTTCCTTGAGTCTTCTATAAGATTTTATAGCATCGGTGCTACTACTTTTGGTATATCCTAAGAAGTCGATTATTTATTTATTTATTTATTTTTGTTAGTCATTAATCGATGTTTTTATCAATCAACCATCTGTCAAAATGCTGGTACATGCATACCTGGTGATAATGGTGCTTATTCATGTCGATGTCCACCGTCATATACAGGAGTTCATTGTGAACAATATAGTTTACCATCATGTAATTATAATTATTATATAGAATAATTATTATTTTAATATTATTTTTGCTTTAGCTATTTGTTCATCGATGCCTTGTAAAAATGGAGGAACATGTTTGTCACTCACTGGTAGTTCAAATTATTATTGTCAATGTCCACCAGAATATATTGGATCTACATGTAGTATGTTATTAAGAAAAAAAAGCAGAAATTCAATTATTTTCTTAACGAAAACAAAGAAAATTTCATTTAGCTACAGCTGTTACTGTTTGTCCTACGGATTACTGCAAAAATAACGGACAATGTACATTTGATTATACACTTAGTCGATTAAGATGTGCTTGTCCAGGAACATTTTCTGGTGAACATTGTGAAATTCCAATAGGTAAATAATTTAAAAAAAAACTTGATATCCGTATTTTATTCTATTTCTATTAAAGGTCAAGCAAATGCCTGTGCAAGTTTTCCTTGTTATAATGATGGTAGTTGTACACCAGCTGGAGCTTCTTTTCTATGTACTTGTAAAGAACATTTTAATGGTAATCAATGTCAATTTAAGGATGATTGTATGATAATAAATAGATACTATTGACTTTTAAAAAACGAATATTATTTAGCTACTCCGTGTCATGGTACTCCATGTTTGAATAGTGGAATGTTAGTTTATTAATAAATTTCTATTGTTTTAATTTTATTTCTTATATCATAGATGTGTTCCCAGTGGAAATACATTTTACTGTAGATGTCCAACGAGTTATACGGGAGCAAGATGTGAAGAACAAATAAGTATAAATTTAATGATGATGAAATCTTTGTTCTTTACTTTTTGTTTATTTAGCTTCATCAAATACACTTTGTAATTTAAATCCAGGCGTATGCCAACAAGGAAGCACGTATATATTGATAATTTTTAAAAAAATGTGTTTCTTTTGTTATCTTTATTTTGTTTTTTTTCTTTTTTACTTTTTTAAAGATGTGTTTCAAATGCGACTCATCTTCGATGTATTTGTCGACCGGGAACTGAAGGACAATTATGTGAAAAAAATACTACAAGTAAATTAAATCTTTATAGTCGATGTTAAGATCCAATCTCAGATTCATCTAAAAATTATAGGTGAATTTCAGATTGGTCTAAGCCAAAGGTGAACTAAAAGATTCACACTCATAATTGAGATATAAATTAAGTTTTTTTTTTTTTACTTTTTTCAAGTTTATTTTAGCATAAACAGAGATTCAATTTCATCCACATTTTTCTATCTCAGTTTTTATTCAATATAGTCTTTGGAATAAATCAACACCTCTACATAGAATTCAATATACTTAGACTCTGATTTGAGATTGATCTATAATTTTCAAATGAATCTTATTACCAACGACAAAACAACTTCGAATCGTATTTTTGTTCTACAATATAGAGTTTACGGTCAGATGAAGTTTTTCTTGGATATATATGAACAGTATAAATGTAGACGTTTATAATACAAATAAAAGTTTAAAGTGTTGATATATTGCCTGAGTCTTTTTAATATATGCTTGAATAACATTTAATGATAGAGCATTGCAAACTTCATTGACCGCATTGTCTAGTTCACATTGTGACTTTGGATTTTTGTTGTTTAATTTTCTGTTTGATAATGTTTCAGACCAGTTCAATAGTGTTCATATCAACACTTTGTATCTTCATATTAAACTTTTATTTGTATTATAAACGTCTACATTTGTACTATTCATATACATCCAAGTACACTTTTTCTAACCATAAACTCTATATTTAGATCAAAAATACAATTTTCAGTCGTTAGTAGTTAGATTGAACGTTTTATAACAGATTAATTCGAGAATGATCTTGTTCAATGTCGGATTCTAGATCGAACGCATCCTAGATTGGCCTAGAAGGATCTGAGATTGAATGCTAACATCGATATGTCTTAGTGAATGGTTTTTTTTTCAATATTGTAGATGCCTGTTTTGGAATTAATTCCTGCTTGAATGGGGGAAGGTGAGTGATCTGAAATAAATAATCAAAATATTAATTTAGATGAATTATATTTAGTTGTTATTCGAGTCAATCGGGATTTGTTTGTATTTGTCCAGAACCATATACAGGAAGTAGATGTGAAACCTCTACAATAAATGGTACCTTTTTATTTTTTGAAAGACAAACTTGTTATTCTATTGAAATATTTTTGTTTTTTAAAAGTCAATACATGTACTGCTAATCCAAACTACTGTAGAAATGGCGGAAGGCAAGAAGAAATACTAGAGTGATTTTCTTTTTTTTTTTCGTTTTATTATTTTTGATTTATTTAGTTGTATGATGCTTAATAATGCACTCTTTTGTATATGTGTACCACCTTATACAGGAACAACTTGTCAACAAACTATACAAAGTTAGAAAAATAATATTATTTTTCTAGAAATAAATTTATTTTATAGATGAAATTAATACCGTGTGTAGTATTACTATGGATAGATGTAGAAATGGTGGAACGTAAGTAAAGAGAAAATAATTTAAGATAATATATTTATGTTTTGTCTTTTACAGATGTGTACCAGTTGGAATAAATGCGTTTACTTGTCAATGTATGCCGGGATACACGGGATTAAGTTGTGAAACGGCTACTAATCGTAAAATGAAATTTTCATTTATTTATTTTTGTTTTTTTGAAATTAAATTTTTCTTCATTTTATTAAGCAACAAGTAATTGTATGTCAATGTGTTTAAATGGTGGCCAGTAAGTTTTATAAGAAAAAAAAAATGTTAAAGGAAAGGGACAAAATTTCGTATATTTAAATGCATTGATAATATATTTTATGCACTTCGAAAATATATACTTAGAATTTTTCTGTGAATCTTTTATAAAATCTATTGCAAGAAAAAAAAAACAATTATTTTCATCTTTTTCAATGTAGCTCCATAGTCACAAGTTACAGAAAAATTCTAAGTATATATTTTCGAAGTGCATATAATATACTATCAATACATTTAAATACGCAAAAATTAATCAGAGAAATTTTCGATCTATCCTACATTATCATCAAATTATTTATTTTGACTTATAAAGATGTACTTTCGTTGGAAATTCATTTCAATGTATTTGTCCTAATGGTTTTACGGGATCATTTTGTGAAACAGCATTATGTATGTTTATTGTTTTTGAATTAAAATTCAGTTGTTTCTATTTTGTTTTTTGCTTATAAAAGCATCATGCAGTTCTATAATATGTAATAATGGAGGTACATGTATGACAATGCCAGGTGGAGCTAGTTCGATATGTATTTGTCCTAATGGTTTTACGGGATCATTTTGTGAAACAGCATTATGTATGTTTTTCTTTTTGAATTAAAATTCAGTTGTTTCTATTTTGTTTTTTGCTTATAAAAGCATCATGCAGTTCTATAGCATGTGCTAATGGAGGTACATGTATGGCAATATCAGGTGGAGCTGCTTGGATATGTATTTGTCAATCAGGATTTACGGGAGATCGATGTCAAAATGTAATAAGTAGTAAGTTTCTAAATAGAATTTAAGATCATACTATAAAAATAATTCTGATTAGCAACGTCTCGATGTACTTCACAACCTTGTCGCAATGGGGGTACCTGCGTTGATGGACCATTTACATATAATTGTAAATGTCCTTATCCATACAATGGACAACAATGTGAACGTGTATCAACAGTTCAATGTAAGTTAATAAGAGATTATGAAATAATTTTTCTTTTTTTTTCTACAAATTAAATAAGAAATTAATTATATAATTAGAATCAATTATAAATCGAGTCCTTTTTATTTCTATTCTTCTTTTGTGAAAGTCATATAAGATAATAATGAGTATAAGGTTTGCACCTGTTCCCCTCCACATTACAGATCATAGCCATTGAAGATAAGATGTGTGAGACTTTTTCACAGAGCTCCTTAGTAACAGAAAAAGGAGCTGAATGGTGTCAACGGCAAGATTTAGATGGATCTAGAACATTGAGACTCGGTGTAGATATAATGGACATGTACAACAGGCATAGTTTGCATTTTTTGCATGACAGATGAAGATATGATTTTCGTATTTGGAAACGGATTTTTGTTGCTCAGAAGTGATTGTATATTACTCAGGAAGTTTTCTTTAAGAAAAAAAAGTATTTTTTGACGAAAAAACCTCAGGGAGACTCTTGTTCAAAGTTTTTTCGAGAAAATTTTTTTGTTAGAAAATATTTTGTCTCATACATCATCAAATGCAATTTCACGTGCTGATTCCGAATATGATATTTTTGTTCAATAAAAACCTTTTTGAACCGAAAAAATTGTAAAATACCTGGAAAACCAAGGTTTTTGGAAATCCTACTGTACGGTTCAGGAATGTTTGTGTTAACAGGAATAATACAGAACAGAGAGAAGAACATTCTAATAGAGTTCGAGAGGATTTGGATCATGGCTGAGGATGACGCGCTCATTTTACTAAACATAGCTATTTGAATAATCAGTATAGAAAAACTTTTATTTTCTTTTCAAAAGTCACACGTGTGAACTAAAAGATTTCTTTGATAATAGATACCAGACGACGTGCAGATTCAGAATATTTACTGGGATGCCTACCCGTTTGTTCAAATTTGTAAAAAAGAAAAATAATTTTCTTACCAATACTAGTAATTTCAAGCTAATTTTTGAATAGCGATTTTCCTATTCGTAACAACAATTTTAATGCGATCAGATAGAGCATGTCTTGAAGTATATTTATCACTATTTCGATTGATAAAATGTCGACATTCATTCTTTCCATCTAATACACTGTGACAGGCTTATTTATCAGATAAATTACTGATTAGAATAATATTAATGTTAAATTAAGAAAAACAAAAAATACCAAGCGAATAACAATATGACAAATACAAAATAGAAAAAAATTATCTATTCGAAATGTAGAAATCGTTTCTCTTAGAAAACAACTATAGTCTATTAGAAATCTTTCACGTTACATATTTTGTATTAGTATAATAAGGATTCAAGAACACATGTAAGTTTCATATTTCAGTTCTAGAAGGACTGCACTAATAAGCTGTTTTATTTTTATTTTTAGCTCCATGTGATAGCAATCCATGTTTGAATTCTGGCAAGTGTAATCGTGTTGGTAATGTTTTTACTTGTTCATGTCCTCCAGGTTATACAGGATCAACATGTGAAACAAATATTCGACCAGGTAAAATATTTCAAAAAAAAAAAAAAAGCAAAAATTATTCGTTTATTTATTTGCTTTTATTTTTTTTTTTCATAGCTACTTGTACTATCAATTGTTCACCAGGTTATTGTTTTTCAAATCCAAGTACTCAACTACCATATGCTTGTTATTGTCCCAATCATACAATTCAATTAAAATCATGTACTACTTAAATTTACTTTTAAAGAAACTAAAAAAGAATAATTTATGATAATACATAACATTTTCTTTTTTTTTTTTTTTGTTTCTTATTATCAATGACCTTGATTAAAAATTAGATAATTTGTTCATTGAATAGATGCAAGAAACATTTTCCCTAAAGAGATTTTTTTTCTTCGTTCTTTCTTTCTCATTTATTTCATAATCTATTATAATAACTACCCAGACAGGAAGACAGACAAGGTCGAATGTCTATTTCTATCGTCATATAAAAAAGAAAAAGAAAAAGAAAAACGAAGAACAAGCAAGCACGATAAACAATGCTTTCTCTCTCGTTTTCTTTCTCCTTTCTCAATGTCAAACTTTGTTTTCATCCGGAAAAGACAGCCAATGTATTTCATGTAGACATAAACAGTACTCAAAATAATATAACCTTGACGAGAGAATCAGTTTTCGATATCGACCCTGAATTGAAGGTAAAACTACTAAACAAATAAATATAAATCGACTTTTATTTTTAATGATTTGCACTCGAATTTCAAAAAAACAAAAGAAAAAAGATTATTTTACAAAAAAAAAAACGAAAAAAAAAGAAAAGAAAAAGGCAACAATACACACACACACACACATATAGATAGGCGAAGAAAAAAAAAGACGAAATAGAAGCTTAGAATGAGACAAATGCTGAAGCAAAATTAAAATGAATTAATAGTAGTAGCATTTTTTAGCCAAACAGAACACTTGGTGTAATTTCGTTTTAATATTTATTTTTTAGTATTAAATATTTGGTTAAAAACCTGAGTGGTTATGATTTATCTGCATACTGCTATTTTTTATATTTTAAAAAAAGAAATAAAAGAAACATTAATGAACTCTGTTCGTTTTTATTTTGTTATTATTAGACGATAGTTTTTTAAATTGATTTATCAACAGTAGCCAATAGTGTAGCAGAGCAAAAAAATCCTGAGGCATTTGTTTTTTTTATTTTTATTTTTATTTTGTTAAAACAAAAGAAAAAGAAAGTCAGTACTGTTCAACCTGAGAGAAACAATCCTGAGTGAATATAATAAATATGAAGTTTTTTTTTTTTTTTTTGTATATATGTGATTCGGTTGATAGTTTTAGCAACTTGAAGCTATAGAAAACAAAAAAAAAAAGAAATTCTTTTTTTGTTTATAGTAGCACACTGTGCTCAAAAATAGGGAGAAAAAAAATTTAATAATATATAAATGAAAGATAGTAGGAAAAGAAGAAGAAGAAGAAGAAACTTGACAGAAAACAACGATTATAAACAACAACGAAAAAAAGAAGGATTGAATATATACACACATATAAATACACTGTATTATTCCTGCTACTGTTTTAATTATGTCTCACTCATAGAATGAGTTCAAAACGAAAAAGATAACTCGTTTTTAGTTTTTCGAAATTTTGGAGAGAGAGAGAGAAAGAAAAAGAAAGATAGAGAGAAAAGAGACTGTTCTTTGTGCATTAAACTACCGGGTTGAAGTGTTGTGAATATATATAAGTATATATATTAAAACATAGATAGATACCTGAGTGAAAGCCGTGAGAATGGAAATCGTATACATAATTAAAAGGCAAGAATACGATTATTACCGAAATCAACAACAAGAACAAGACCTTCAGGTGTAATACATAATCCACTTGGTCTATCCATTTGTAAAGGACCTGAACCTTGTGTACCAAATTTTGTTTTAAAAACACCTTGTGGTGAAAAAATTTGTACACGATAATTTCTTGAATCAGCAACTAATATATTTCCTTCAGCATCAATATCAACACCTTGTGGACGAAGGAATTGTCCATTAGATGAACCTTCACTACCAAGAAAACGTGCATTTTGAAAATCTGATGATAAAAATAATAAACGATGATTATTAAAATCTGATACAATTATATGACCAGCATGTGTAAATACAACACCACGTGGTGAATCAAATTGTTTCCATACAGGACCATCAAAACCATATTTACGTAAAAATAAACCATCTTTAGAAAATAATTGTATACGATGATTACGTGTATCTGATATTAAAATTTGTGATGTTGATGATATAGCTACATCCCATGGATAATTAAATTGACCGGGTTTAGTACCTTTTTCACCAAATTTAAATATATATTCTCCAATAGATGTAAAAACTTGTACACGATGATTATCTTTATCTGTAACAATAATACGATTTAATTGTTTATCAAATGCAACACCAGCTGGTCGATCAAATTGTCCCGGACGATTTCCTTGTATACCAAATTTTCTAAGAAATTGTCCATATTTACTAAAAATTTGTATACGATTATTTGATCGATCAGCAACAATTATATTTGATTGATTATCACAACAAACACCCCATGGTCGACATAATTTACCATCATCATCACCTTCACTACCTATTTCAAATTCTAATTTTAAACCAATTGTTGTATAATTACGATTTTGTTTTATTTCAATACGAAATGGATTATCTTTTATTGGTGAATTATTTACATAAACATTTAATATATGTAAATTATCACTTTGTGCTATATATGTTATAAAATATTGTCCATTTTGTCTATCATATATTTCACATGGTACTGTTTGATTATTACCTGTATCAATTAAACAACATTGAATATTATCACCACCTGTTGTACGTAATTCACCTAAATGATTACGTGTTTGTAAATTTAATACATTTAAACGATTTCTTATTGTATTATAAAGTGAATCACCATATAATTCACATAATGATGGATATGTTGATGTTATTAATTGACCATAATTTATTAATGATTTATTTAATGTTGTTGTTGTTGAACCTTGAAATTGTATATAATCATCTTCAAGTGGTTTTAAATATAATAATAATGTTTGTTTCATTTTAATTATTTCATTCCATAAACGATTACGTGTACGAATAAGATCAGCATCATTACCATTTTTTAAACATTCATTACAATCTAATAGATACGGAAAAAAACAAACAAAAAGAAAACATTAATATCATGTGTTTCGTATAGATCAGAGATGTAGCACTACTGCTGCGACGTGACAAACTATATAAATTTTGATTGTTAGATTTTTAGATGCTTAAATCGGATGTAAACCGATGATGTAATCTTCCTAGAAAAGAAACTACTATGCTGCTGATGTCATCGTCGTAGATAAACAATCTCTAATTTTTATTCGTTTTATATTTTTATTTTTCTCTAACTTACCAAGTATAGTTAAATGTAATTGTTTAATAACTTGATTAATTTCATTAATTTGTTTTTGTAATGTTTGTGTTTTAATTGTTTGTATTTTATCAATATTTTTTAATAGAAAATCTTGTCGTTGTGAAAGTATATCAAGAAAATATTTAATCATTGTACGTATTTCATTTTCAATAGTTGAACTTTTTATTGATATATTTTCAATTGTACGTGTTGATTGTTTTAATGATTCATCTAAATGATATAATAATGTTTGTGATTCAATTAAAAATTGTTTTGTTAATTGTCTTGCATTATCAATTGTATCTTGTAATGATGATAATGTATGTTGTTGTGCATGATGTATTTGACATTCATGACAATATGCATGTGAACATATATCACAATAATATGATGCTTTTAAATTTGAATGTTCATGACAAAAAATTGTTGTTGATGATGATAATAAAGAATTATTCATTATTAAATTTTCATTATTTGTATTATTTAATGAAAGTTGAGAAAAAACTGAACTGAATAATGATGAAAAATCATTTGAAGAATTATTTAATAATGCTGAACGATTTAAAGAAAAATCTAATGAAGGTTGTTGTTGTTGTTGTGGTGGTGGTGGTGGTAAACGAACTAAAATAAAACAGAAAACAATAACGATTTATTAATTAATAATAATCAAAAAACAAAACAAAACAAAACTTACCAGTATTTGATAATAATGATTGTTGTCCAATAATTGATCGATTATTATTAAATTGTGAAGTTAATAATTGTTGTCGATGATCTTTAAAGCTAAGAATTTTTGGATGTGTTAATGCACATTTTTCACATAATGTTATTTCACAATCAAGACAATATGTATATGGAGGATTATTAGCAAAACAACAAAATGATGATGGACGATCATTTGTTGATAAACGATTTAATGTTGATGAAGATATTGTTGGTTGTTGACGAGAAAATAATGTTTGAGATAAATCACTACTTGGAATACTACTTGTTGGACTATCATGATCACTATTATGATTATTTCCATTAAGAAAATTAGGAAAAAAACGCATAAAATCATTTGATGTTGTTGTCGTTGTTGTTGTCAAATCAAAATCAGTTTTAAAATTTGTTGATATTAATGGTGAATATGTAGTATTTAGATCCGTTAATGGATGATGTATTGGATTTTGAGAAATATTACCGGATATAAATGGATCAAATGCACTTAAACGACGAGTTGATGATACAGATGATGAAGTTGATGATGCTGATGAAGAAGGTAATGATGAAAAATGTGGTTGAAATATTGATTGAACTTGTTGTTGTTGTTGCTGTTGTTGCGTTTGATTATTTAATAATGATTGTGTTGGAGGTAAAAGTGGAAATTTATTGTTCATATCAGAAGAAAAACGTTGTTGATCAACAAATTCTGTCATACAATTCGAGCAAAGTTTAGATAAGGGATTATTTGATGATGATGCCATAACAATAGGCATTTCTTTAAGACACGATGAACATACGCCACCGGTATTACCACTGTTCATATTGCTAGTTTCATTCATGATTTCGTCTTGTTTTATTTGCTTTTTTCGCTCGTTTTATAGAGGCCTTTCGAGCGAATTGGCCACAATTGAAATCATATGTAACGACACATGTTTGAAACCTACTTTCATTTTCACTCTCTCATCTAGCTGTCAGTCGATGATGGAACCCGACAACAATCTAAAATATAAAAAAAAGAAAGGAAAGTAAACGAGGAAATTTATAGTACTATAACATTCAATGTACAAAAATCTCCTATTTCATA